GACATCTTCATGCGGTCTTTGCATGTACGAATCCTGGTTCACTCTTAACGCCCGGAATAGTAATGGTTTGATCATGTTTTTGCTCACAGTTTCCAGCCGTTAATGAAGTTCTTCCCCAGCTATCGTGAACATGAAACACACCAGACTGCAAGGTTCTGGGGATCCAGCGCCGTGGACGCGTCTGCACAGGGCTCCCGAGTGATATACTAATCTGCCTTGGTTCTAGGTTTTGCAGGGTCTTCAGGCGAAAAAGCAACCTTGCCATGTCAAGTATTTAAAGTTTGCATTAGACAAGTTGGTACAGTTCTGTTTTGATTGCCCGGCCGTGACATGTAGCCATTTTTTGCTGTGTCCATCCTGGCACGGAACTCCGAAGTAAACCAAGCTATTATGAATGCTGGTCATTCACCAATTACCTCGGTCTGTTTACTGCTGAGAAAGCCATTGAAGCAGATCTAGTCATCAATGGTAAACCCTGTGCCAGGGAAGACGCAACTTGCACGAGTATCTGTATGGCTGTGGGGGCCACCGGGGTACATGAAGGCTTGCTTTTGGAAGGCAGAGCAGGTGTATGTGCAGGTCAACCTGTTGTTTCATCACGTGTTGCATCATTCAGTACGTCCTGGACAAAAGCTGTCAGCTCATGCCTGCTCTGCAGGCAATTCAGAGCTCAAAAGTGTGTGTATCGCACAGGATGGTGATAGGAGTCCATTGGACCCAAGGCCGTCAAGAAGGATGCGCCAGAAAGGCTTCCCTGCCCGTGACTTAGGCATGAATACATCGCAACGCCTTGCCTAGACCGAGCGAAGGTAGATGCAGGTCGACAGAGACGTGTGTATATGCCTGTACGTAAAGATTACACAGAAAATCATGTGCTCAATATGGAGACATTAGACCGTATCGTCAAGCATGTAGAGCAGCATTGTCGTCAGATCGCTCAGGGTACGTTCCAGACTTTAGGTGCCATGAGTTTGGACATGAAGCCTTGTCACGCGCTGTTTCGAGTTCTTGGGCTGACCAGTCTATTCCTCACTTTGTATTGGGGCCTGGCTGGTAGAACGAACATGGCTGTGACTTGCCCAATCGTTGCACGTGGCTTGTGCGTTTCGGTGCTTTGGGACGCGTCGCGTCTACCAACTCACCCAGCACAAAACAAGTCTCCTGCAGACTGCACAGAAGGCTTGCTGAGTCTTGCAGGAAGACATCATATTTCATCCTATATGCAGTCGCATTATCTCATGTACCGCCCGGGTGGTGGCTTGAACAATCGGATCCAAGGCTTGGAAATCGGCTTGCTGTTTGCTGTGCTTCTGAACCGCACAGTTGTTATTGAGACCATCAACACAGGGCATTCCAAAGGACGAGAGGTGCAGTACACAGATTTTCTGGAAGCCATTGATGAGTGGCCAACGGTCCGTGCCGGCATAGACACCAAGCTGTACACTAGCCTTAAGGCAGAAAGCAACCGCTCACACTTGCCTTTGAACCCACATGCAAACTGCAGCGTAAATCTTTGGGATATGGTTGTGGAGTACTCTTCATCCACCGACCGAGTGCTGGAGTATCCCCACTATGCTGGCTTTTGGCAGTACTGGTTTCGACCAGAGTATCACATGGTGGTCGCTCGTTTCTTGGACCAGCATGTTCGTTTCCGGACCAATTTTTCGGTGCCGATACAGTTTGCCCTTCCTTTTCCGTATGCTCTTCTACACTATCGGCTTGGTGACATGCCAGGCCTTCCATTGTTCAACTGCTCCAAGATCAACTTCAGTTTCACAGGCGGGGTATGGAATCAGTGTCGTCGGAAACACGTGAACGGCAGTGTGGAGTATCTCACTGTGCAGAAAGCCTTAGAGTTCTGGCATGTACCTGAGCACCTCAAGCACGTGTACATCGCAACGAACAGACCCTCGGACCCTCAGATTGGGAGAACAGTTCGCTTTTTTGCAGAACGTGGTTTGAAGACTTGGACTTGGGAAGATATTTCATCCTTTTGGCCAGCGGATTTGGGAGCACGAGATGGTTCTGCCGTGAGTGCCATTGAGCAAGTTCTTGCTATCAACGCTGACACATACTTTCCTGCGTGGCCCAGCTCGTGGGATGCCGTTGTTGTGACGAGGAGGTTGGCCCGCCAGAAGCGGCTGGCTCAGGAGCATCACCAGCTCATTGTGGACGGCCACCTGCGCAACAAGAACGGCCGTTGCCAGCGATAAAAGGTCACATGGTTCGCATCATTGACGGCTAGCTGACGTGCTAGGGATCCCGCTTTAGCCACATGTTGTCACCCAAAACAGGAACTCTGGTACCTCGTGACTGCCTTGTTTTGATGGCCGGAGGGGCCTGCCTTTTTAATCGTTGCTTGTGACGTCGGCAGTAAACTGACATTGTACCTTCTCTTGCCGCTCCGGGAGGAGGAGCATGATCGTGGTCTCATGTAAGCTCTGGTCTCCTTTCGCCTTGGCGTAGCTTCGATGCTGCTGTACAAGTATGGGCTCAGGGTGTCATGTGTGGCTCGGACATGCAGGACATCGTGCAAACCCCATGGTTTTCTGTCATGGGACGTGTTTTGCGGTGACGCGAAGGAGGCAAGGGGTCGTTTTAGTGGCCCTGTTGGGTAGCGGTCACGGGTTGGTGCAGTTTCGTTGAACCAACTGGCTTGGGATAACCGGATACCCCGCAATCCTTGCATAGAAGGAAGATAGTTGCACTGCGCTTTTGAATTTCGTTGCTCTTTTGGTCCAAATTACACCTGCACAGAACTCTCACAGGACCAAAATCGCGCTAGTCTGAACCACAAGCAGCTACCAACACCATTCCATCTATCTAATGTTCACATACTGGGATCCAGCCAACTCCAAACTATTTTCAGAGCCTGTCTGCAGCAGCAACGAAGCAAGGAGTTCTAAAGAGGGCGATATCTCGTGTTTTTGGCTGTTTGTGCGGGGTCCAGGAGGATCACCGGAATGGGGTCAGTGCACAGATTCCAGGCTGGGACCTGCATTGGCTGCCTCCTGGCACAGTTGTTGCGGATCTACGTCTTCTTTGCTTCCACAGAGGTGAAAACCGCGGGGACAGGAGCGAAGACTGCTGTGGACTGCCAGTGTCCATTCTGCGAGTTGGCCCAGGTCCAGGCATCTCCGACACATGATTTCGATCAAGCCCTGTCCAACACTCTCTCCAACGTTTCGCGAGAACTTCAAGTTGATCCAGTTCTATGTGAGTGCCGGATTGGGTACAGAGCCCAGTTCCACAAAGCTGCAAAGCCTGTGCAGCTTGGATTGGCTGGTGATGGCACTGATGGAGTGCAAGGCTGGTTATTTTGTTGATCTTGCATCGGCCGAGGCGGTGGCTGGTTCGAACACATGGTTTCTAGAACAGTTTGCTTGGGACGGTGTTTGCATCGAGGTTAACCAGCGCCTTATTTTCGGATACAGGCACCGGAACTGCAGTTCATATTTGGCAGCAGCAGGCAGCCCAACGGATAGAACGTCAAGGTTCACCTTCAACAATTCTGTCGTGATCCCCGGCAGGGAGAAGAGAGCTCTGAAGGACAGGCAGCTGGAAATGTTGCCGCTGGCATCGTTGTCAGACATTCTTGCCCATGCCGGTGCCCCCAACGTGATTGACTACATGTCCCTAGATGTGAATGGTGCAGAATCCAACGTCGTGCGTATCCGCAGACTTGTCTGCTATTGCTTTAATGCCTCGAAAACTTCATGAACAAATTCTTGTTGCTTGCGAGTCAAAATTTTTCAGCCACCTCGAGATAGGGAAAAACGTACTCACTTTGACAAAGGGAATGATTTGCGGTAGCTTGTCTTCGCAGTGCAGTGTGAACTTCGTGATCCGCACCTCTTCCTTCAGTTAGCAGAGCTGTGTGCAAGCTGCATGCATTTCACATGTCCTGTGGCGCAAGCATGACATTCGTGCAATTGCAATTCCACACACCAGCTCTGCTTGAAGAAAGGCACTTCTCACACTTGTGTGATAAGCTTTTATGTCCTTGCTTGAAAGTTTTGTGCGGTCGTGCATAAAACGTGTAAAAATTTTCTCATTCACGTTGCTTGAACATGTGGGAAGAATTTTCATGATGTTTTCATGATATTTTCTTTCCATGCGGATTTTCTGGGAGTTGCTCTTTTGTGACAAACACACAATCCGCTTGTCACCGTAGCCATTTTGGCTCAAGCAAGAGCACGGTGGTCTTTTGCCTCGGGGCCCCTTCACGTGAGTGCAGTTCCGACGTGCGCCGTTGCTCCCGGCGGTGGTGGCAGGTGTTGGTTCGCCCAGCTCTGCAAGTCGGAGTGAGATACA